AGTATCATAAATTTTGTAATTTATATTACTAATTATTTTCTAATTGCAAACTTTTAATTATTAAGTATACTTGTTGTAAGATTTTTATATAGAAAATATGATTATCTTTATAATAAATATATTTATTCTAATCTTAGTATAATATATACTATAATTATTATATATTTTTAAATAAATCTTTATTATATATAATATTAATTTAATATAATCTTTACTATTAAGACTAACTTATATTTCTATAATGATCAGTAATAATTTATAACTTAAAAATATATAATAAATATAAAATATTAGAGTTATTTTAATTTTATATATGAAATTTTCAGTTCTGATATATTATTATTACCAGAAAATTCTAATTTTATATGAAGTATTATTATATATATATATATATATATATATATATTATAACAGATTGATATTAAAATCTAGATATGATACTTTGTATAAAAAATTAAAATTATTAATAGAAATTGATAATAATGTCTTATATATAAAGTCAGAATTTTTTATTATTAATATATTTAAAAATTTTATATATATTTTCAAATATGATTACTAACTATTTATAAAAATTTAATAGTTAATTTTTTTTCTTTTCCATTTAATCATTATCAAAATATATAATTTTAATAAGATATAAAGATTATTTAATAGTTCTTTTGCCAGTTTGCTAACAGATTTTATAAGTCTTCATATAATTCTTTATATTAGTTTTCATATTATTTTATCAATATTTATTTGTAATTCATTAATAGATTTCTTCAAATCTAAAATATCTAGATAATGAGTTTGAATATAAATTGATAAGAATAACTTTCATTTTATTTTTTTTAATAACTCTAATATACAAGTACTTATACTTAATATATATATATATATATAAATTCTTAATACATATTTACACTTATATCAGAAATATTAAATCCAGTTAGTAACTAATTCTTAACTAGAAATTAATTATTATTAATTATAATTATAAATAATTATTATTTAAATTCATTAATAATTATTTATAATCAATTATAAACTAAAATTAATAGTAATCAAAATTTTTTTATTATTTATACAGTTAGTGCAAAAAGATTTATATCATAATATAAAAATCAATAATTACTTCTAATAAAAATTATTCAATCTTTATAATTTTTTATATTAAATAAAAAATTATCTAAATTAAATTTTTATATTATTTTAACTATTTTATTATATATCCCTCTATCAAAAGTATCTGACACTTTTAATAATCTGCATAAATTTAAAAATCTTATTGAATATTTAAATTAATCTTTCTCAAAAATTATATTTACAATATTTAATAAAACTTATATTTTTGAAATCCTCTTATTATGAACTTTTTATTTATAGTATTAATACAGAGTGAAATTTTCTTCATTATTAATAATAGTAATAATTCTTTGAAATATGCTATTTACTAAATTTTTTAAAATACTTTCATCAATCTTAGATCACTCATTCTCTAAAACTAAAATCAGTTCTCTTTTATTTTTAGTATAAATTTGTATTTATACAATTTTCTTTCAAGATGATCCTATAAATACTCAATTGAATTGAGATCTGGGCTTTGAGCAGATTATAGAAGAGAATGTATTAAATTTTTCTCTTTTTAGACAAACACAAAGTTAGCTTTATAAATAGGAGTATTATTATTTTGAAAAATATAAGCTATTTTATTATCTAGATTTTTGATAAAAGAAATTAGATAATCTTTTAAAAGTTTTTTATAGATCTAACTTGTAATTCTTCCTCTAAAATTACCAATAAATCAAGTTAATTTATAACAAAACAGCTTTATATTATTATCTCTTTACTATTATTCTTTATGATAAGTACTAGATATTCTATATCATATTTCTCATGAGATCTATGTCAAATCCATTGCTAATCATCATTTTCAAATAAAAGAAAGCAGAATTATCATTTTAAATAATTGTATTTTATTATTTATTTCAGTTTCTATGTTCATAACATTATTTTAAACATTTTACTTTATTAGTTTTAGAAATAAAGAGTTTTTTCTTTCCAATATAACTAACAAAGTTATTTTTATGAAGTATATATCTAATGGTACTAGTACTAACCTAAATAAAATCTAGGTTATTGAATTTCTTAATAATTTCTTCAAGCGACTCTTTCTTATTATCTTTAATTACTTATACAAGAGTTTGCTTTTTATGCTCAGTCAAAAGAGATAATTTACCTGAATGAGAAAGAGATTCAGTAAGTCTCTTATTTTTGAATTTATTTATAATATCAATATAAGTAACTCTGAATATTCTGAGTATTTTTTAAATATCTGTAGTATTATATTTGCTCTTGTAAAGTTCAATAATTATTTCATGCTCAAAAATAGTAAGTTCATGAGACTTAGGCATTTTTTATAAAATTAAATAAGTAAAGCTAAAAACTTACTTGATAATTTTTGAAAGTTACAGTTTCTATCTACTTGAGAAAAAAAGTATTTGAAATTAAGTTAAATATAAGGCAAGATATTTTAATTTGAATGTATACTATGGGATGTAATTTTATTTACTGATCACAAAGTGTCAGATACTTTTGATAGAGAAATATACTTTAATTCAATAATAAATAAAGTATTTCTTTATTACTATTCTATTATACTTTAATTTAATAATAAATAAAGCATTACTTTATTAAAAAAAAACTAAAATAAAATTTTTTTTAAAAAAGAAGATATTTTAAATATTATCATTATCAATTTGTAATATTAGAACTTCAAATTATACAAGCAGATTTGATAAATACAGAGAATTATCAAAAGTTTTTGAATATGATTTTTGGAATGCAATTGCTATACAAAAAAATAATATTTATTATACAAATATGATTTGTTTTTGTTTATTTTGTCTTAATAAATATTTCTAATTTAATTTTTCTTTCTAACTTCATTTTTTTACAAAATGTGATTACAATTATAATAATGAAAAAAAATAATAAATTAACTGTGAAATAATGAGATACTATATTTTATCTTTGTAAAAATGATAATTCATATAATCAGATTGCAGAAACTATTGGATGTAACAAAACAACAGTTTATGATACATTAAAAAGACATGCCAAAACTGGATGCATAGAAAGCATTTCTGAGATATATGATCAAAAATTTAGTTAATAGTATGTCAGTACAAATTCAGGTAGTAATTATAATCCAATTAAATACTAGTTTAATAATACAAAATGTAGATTTTGATAAGCTTAAAATAAAGTTTTATAAAGTTTTTTTGGCTGAGTTTTAAAAATTATGTGTTTTATATTGCATAAAAATTCATTTGGAAACTTTTGATAACCCTCTGTATATATTCTAAATTTTATAAAAATTGAATCAGTAGTTATAAAGATATTAAGATTCAAAGTTGAGTAATTAAATTATTTACTATATAATTTTTATATTAATTTTAAGCAAATTTTATATAATAAATTTAAGAAATAATAATTGAAAAAAGTTATTATTAGTAAAAATTTTTTTTTATAAAAGATATATAATAAAATTTTTACATTTAAATAAATTCCAATACCTAATAACTTAATTGAATAAGATAGGATTAAAATTTTATTTTGAAAAAATAATCTATTAATGTTTATCTAAGGTACAAATCTTTTTGCACCGACCCATAATTTATTATCGTTATAATTATAATTGTCTTAATTATAATTGATTATGATCGACAATGTACTGAACATGTACAGTATACTATATTAATGAAGGATTGACGATAACGATAATGTATGTAACAATGATACAACGGTCATTTGTTCGTTTACATGTACATGTAATTCCCAATTTCTTGCTTACCGTCATCGCGTTGCGTAGTAATCGAAACACCGAAAATAACTATAATATCAAATCAATCACAAATGTCTTCTTCCTTGATGTCAGCGATAGAAACTGCAATTTCAGAAAACCTTTTCAAATTCTTTTGTTTTAATGATTTTAAAGATAAAAAAGTAATTGGCAATGGAAATTTTGGCGAAATATATAGAGCAAATTTAAAAGATGACTTGGTAGTAGCTTTAAAAGGTCTTTATGTAAAGAACGAAAACTATGAACGAAACCAAAAAGAATTCATTAAGGAGGTAAATTTATCGTTATTGCTTTATCTGATATTAAAATCAACTACCAATAGAAAATTAATAAAAATTATATATATAAAATTAGTTAAAAGCTCTCATCAAAATTAATTATCATCCAAACATTATTGATTTTTATGGAATTACTAAAGGTAAATTTTGTAACAACGATTTGATTTAAATATATATATAGAAATATATGAATAAATGTTATGTATTTTATTAGATCCCAGTATTCAAAAATACATGTTGGTATTTAATTATGCTAATGGCGGAACCCTTCGAGATTATCTGGAAAAAAAGTTCGATAGTTTGAAAGGTATTGACAAGTTATCTTTAGCCAGACAACTTGCAAAAGGGGTAAAGTGCATACACGACGAAGGCATCATTCATAGAGATTTGGTAAGAATCTTATTCATCTCTTTTAACTTTGAGTAGAATTTTAATTTATTTACCTTCTCGCATCAAAGAACCATAATAATATCCTTGTACATAATGGAGAAATCAAAATCGCAGACTTGGGCTATTCAAAACTTTCAGATGATGACTTCAATTCGAAAACTGACTATGGAATTGCATGCTATGTCGATCCAGCTTTTCTAAAAGATCCGGAAACTTTTCGACGAGATAAAAAATCGGATATATTTAGCGTTGGAATTCTATTATGGGTGATTTCTAGCGGTTGCCCTCCATCCAACAAATTTGGATATGAAAATATTCGTGAAAAAGAAATGACAATGTTTGGGACTCCTCATGAATATGTCGACCTTTATCAAAAATGTTGGGATAATATACCAACAAATCGGCCAACTATAGGTAAAGTAAATCAAGATTTAAAGGAAATAATTTGGTCCACAACAGAAACTGGCACCTTATTATGTAATGAAATGGAATTTCGGCAATGCACCATCGCGGGATTAGCTTATGCTGATGTGGTCGAGGATATAAAACGTGCTCGCGTTGTTGATGGAGTTGAGGTGGGACAATATGATTTCAAGCAATTAAGAGAGGATTTGAGAAGTCACACAATGGGCCTTGTGATCCATGAATTTTTGTCTCTTTTGGCGGTTTGTCATACTGTTATTCCGGAAAGAAGCGAAAAGAATCCCAGTGGTTTGTATTTTTATTAGTATTATTATTCCCTTTTTAGTGTTCATTAAAAATAAAATTTTTTGATTGATTTTAG